CCGGCTTGTGTGCGTGTGTACTTTTCTGTGAACTGATAGCTTTTTTTTCGGTGGCACACTCCTACTCACTTGGTACTGTACAGACTGGCCACAGGTACACCAATTACTACTGATAATTGTTTTTGAACATGTTGAAGGCAGGATTACAATAAGTAATATCTGAATGACGTGCCAAAAATACCTTGGAAGAATACGACCGATTTTCCGGTCCTTGCTGGTAATCCTTTACCGCTTCATTCATATACTTGTACCCAGAAAGTATATTTTTGTCACAATAATTTCATTTGCAACTCCGGGTGAATTTGTTTAGCTAGCTCTTTCAGAACACTATGATTCGATATTTTGTAGGTGGGCTAGACGCCACTAACCGCAAGAAAAATGACTCAAGCCTCTGTATGAAATATTTGACATAAGTAGTATATACATATATTACAAAGCTTCAGATATATCGCGCCCAATTAATTGTGTTGTGAGAGAAAAGTACAGAAGCACAGTACAAAAGTGGCCAGTTTCTAGTCTCTAGTTAAAAACATGTTTCGATTGTTTACTGCACACGATTTCGACCAATGCAATGCTACGTTTCTTGTACAAGGTTTCATTTGATATTTGAAAGCGACTGGATTTGCCGACACGACTGGTACAAGTCTTTTACCCATCTTGCTGATTCATCAGTTGACGTACGATTAGCCGTTTGGTCAGCCGATCACCCAACAATGTGATAAGTGTATTTGAGAACACAGAACTATCTCCCACAATTGTCAGAGTTTAAAAGAAATGTACGGATGACAGAACCGTTTGGACTGATTTCCTATGGTGATTTGAACAGCCTATGCCCTCTAAACGATATACTATCGAGCACATGTGGCATGGCTTTTCTTTTCTCCAAAGTAAGTGTAAACTGTCGTTTTAATTTCTTTGTTTATTTATTGTATGCACAAATTTACGATCATTTACGATCGAATTTTCGGAAGGGGGTCGCAACCAAACAAAGTCTGTATGGGAAAATACAGAAATGGGGAAAGTGGACAGCAGTTAAGACGAGTCGAACCCGGGATCCCGAGATCATTAGTTTGTTGACCTTAACCACTTGACAACAACCTTCTTCAGGTGGTTGTTTTTCTTTTTGAAATTAAACACACTACTCAGATGTCATCCGTGGGTAGGAAAACTTGTCTCCCGGGATAAATGACAAGGATCCCTCCAAAGAGAATTTCTTCGTAAAACCAATCTTGATATCGTTGTTTTTCCACCGTTGTTTTGTTCAAATCCAGTGCCTCCACTGTACAGCGTTGAACTCAACTGCGAGCTATGAAAATTTGAACTATTGCAAACATGAACATTTTGAAGCGGAAGAAAAACGATACGCGACCAGTTTACCAAGTCTGCATGGAACTGCATTTTGGCGGGCAGAAGAACAATCCAGGCGATACAAGCATGTGCACGGGAAGAACTCATGGGGTCGTCTGGTCAACGGTGTGTGGGATATCGATCCTCAGTGGTAAGCTCTTCCCCCTACTGATATTGTCAGTTGTTGTTCCTGTGAATGCTGAAACTCTGTGGTTGAGTAAACACGAGGTTTAAGTAGGAGTAGAACAACTTGTAAGCGGTCTTTGCGTGACCGAATACCCACTGAAATGTTTGATGAATTACGCGAAGCATCTCATTACGAATAGTCGGTATCCGTGTCATGATGGTTATTTATCTATCTAGCGTCTCTGGTGACACTTCTTCTAGTATCTTTCTATATATTTTTACAGGATTAGAAGCTAGCTATATATATGTATAAATCATGAATGTTGTAGAACTTTTACCGCGTTATTGTTCCTGGCATAAGTGTTATTTTATTCTGAAAGCAATACATATTTCACAGCTACACCTTTTCCCATCAAGCTTTAGGCTTGGTCTACAAACCTTAGTCATTCCACTTTGGGCGAGTCAGATCAAAAATTATTGTAATATTCCGAGGTGAAATGATCTTACTGGGAATATATAGGAAGAGTTTGTAGTACACAGTGCAAGAGTCTCTCCAAGACGGGGCAAGTAAACTAGTTTTCACTTGTTTGTTTTGACGTGATCACAAACTGTTCGAATAGCATCACGACCAGAAAAATTGATTATTAATGATTGCACGTCCGGCAAAGCCTTGTGTTTCTTATCAATGTTCAGTTGATCCAATTGTTTGACCATCTCAAAAATGTCTTTCACGGTATATTTGATCAAAGAGATCTTAAATGGCTGAAATTCGTTGACAAGGCACTGCCAGTTGATGTTGTGGTAGGTTCCTCATCGACAAGATAGATCTCTGTGGTACACCAGGTTTGTGTGATTTGGTAATCTATACAGTTGCGAGGAGACGCTTTCTCGCATCTGAGGTTTTCGAGCTGTATTCTGATCGCTAAAATGACCTTGCAGAAGGTGCTGAACTTCGGCAGCAATTTTCTGCTCCAAATCTTTTGAATCGTCACACAGTGGTTAAGATTGAAACTTCGTGGAGTCACCCAGAATAGTTTCCATTTTGTGCACATAATTTTTCGGTATAGTAACACTTCACCGGATCCTTTATCAAGGTGTAGAATAATGAAATCCTTCTGGGGGTGAAATTCCTTCAATGCAACGGAATGTTGTCTTTTGAGCAAGGAGCTTTGTTTCGAACTGATTGTTCTATATTGTCGTTCTAAATCCACCAGCTTAACTTTTATCCAGCATTCCGCGTCTTTTGAGGAAGGGGCCAACGGTTTTAATTGTTGGTATTCTGGCATTTATTGTTAGTCCGTCGAACTTCAAAATCGAAATCCGCAGTACTCACGCCCGCATGTACGGAATGCGCCGCTTAACTGCTTGACAGTTTATCAGGCTCCGTGTTCAGCTTCGTTCAGCTACCCCGGAATATTTTTTGACTTTCAGGTCGTTTTGTACAAAATTATCAAAATGAGTATCCCCTGGTCTATGGTAATGCATTTGCAAACTGAATCCAGAAGCATATCTCCTGAAACTGTTGTCAGTTTGTCGGATCATGGGATACTGGAGGCGAATCTCTGTACTTCTATAAGTGCGCATAAAATAATTGAGGTTATCAAGAGTGCATTAAATTTGTCAATTAGACAGTTTTATTTGTACCAAACGGTTTATGAGCTGCTTATTTTAGTTTGCTTTTAGCCCATCCATGCGTGCGCTGCTCGGTGCACTTTGCGACGTGCACGCACGATTTCTTCAGTTGGCGAAGAATAGTTGCTTGTGCTGTTATCAATTACACTTGTTCTCGATTTTTCATTTCTCACGTTATTAGCACATTGTTTCCATAGTAGAGCTCATAACTCATAACGGATGGATGAACTCCGTGCACGATGAGTCATTTGTAAATCAGACCGTTTGAGATAGATGAATACCGTCGCCTGACTGGTTGTAGAGTGCACGGGAGTTTCCAGTGGATTCAATGTGTATGCGTGCATGCTTGCGATGTATTTGACAAACTGTAAACCATTCAAAACCTTTGAAGCCCGGCTTCCCGAATCACTGAACTAACGTGGGTCGTCGAAGTGGAGTGGACGCGGGGGAAGCGGGCTGTGCATGGCAACGCATCCAAATTTTGATTGCACTGGTGAGTCCACCGAACCTTGACGAGGAATACGTATTCCATCCATGCCCAATCTAGCTAGCTTTCGGGGATTGACTTTTGTCAAAAGTTCTCCGAACCTAGGGGTGGGGTAGG